CCCATAGTGGATGCGCGCGATGGAGAGCGAGAAGATGGGGCAGCAGCAGCCCTCCAGGATGAGGCCGCAGGTGCCGCCCGGGCACTGGTTGGTGAAGTCGATGCAGCAGCACTTGGGGATGTAGCGCTGGAAGCACACAAAGTCGTCGAGCCCGTTCTGCTCGTACTTTTCGAGCACGGCCTTGCGCGCCCAGCAGGCGGTGAGGCCGCACGGCGCGCCGATCCCCGAGAGGATGCAGCAGCCCGGCTCCGCCTGGCACACGTGCTTCATGCCGATCGCAAACTGGTGCGGGTCATTGGCGTGGCCGAGCATGTGCTCGTTGGCCTGGCCGCGGGTGCCCAGGCCGCCCTTGCCCAGGGCCTGGACCTTGTCGGGCGGCGTGTCTGGGCAGAAGAAGCACATGGCCGCGTCAGAGTGAGCGGTCCGACCACCCTGTCGGCGAACGCCTGATTTTTCTCTTTCCGGGAGCTCTGGACGTCAGGAGACTACAGTCTCGCCAAACGAGGCCCGTGAAGAGCACCCTCGCTTGAAGCGCCTCTCCAGCCCTCGCTTTCGCTCTCATGCGCGACGCTGGCCAGGCCATGTAGGTGCGCGCTGCCGCCCAATCGACGCGCTCCCCCGCCCAACACCCCTACCCGCCGGGCAGCGCGCCATCCAGATGGCCGCCCCGACCCTCACTTCCGGCTGCGCGCCCACGCGCCTCTCGCCGTGGCGCCCACTTTGGAGACCTGGTACGACTGCCGTGGGTGGACCTGCAGCGCCGTGGTAGCGTTCGGCTACCACTGATACCCTGCTTGACCCCGCGTGCAAGTCTCCGGGGCCAGATCCATTGCAACCACAACTATACCAGCGCTGAAGTTGGGCTCCCGACCGCAGGTGCGTCGATAATGCTGAGCCCCTAGGGCGATCAGCCGGCCGCCATCACACGCCTCCGAGCTCGACCACGCCACCACCGTCACCTCCGATAGCCACGACGCCCGTCGCTTCCTTCTCCGCCGCCACCGCAGCCGCAGCTGCCGCCATCTGGCCGCTCGCTGGCTCCGCCACCTCCGCCACCGAGG